CACACACACACACACACACACACACACACACACTACTGTCCCTGTATTTACATCCGTCCCAAAACAACCAGGTCACGTTGCAGAGGACGCATCTTCCAGATAAACCTTTAGCTTTAACCTTTAGCCTCAGTGGGATTTGCCCGGTTAAATAAGAAAACAAAAAAAAATTCAGTCAAGTCAAGCCTCGACACATTGATTGTTTTATTTATTTGTTGATTTGTTTGAATTTTTGAGAGCAGACCCTGATCTTTGTGTTGACTTACAGGCCTCAGAGCTTCTCCAGCCTGTCGTGAAGAACCGTGCAGCTAACAGGGAAATAAGACACTCTTTCCTCACTGAGTCATCCATCCTCTTGCATCAAGCACAGCTCCGCACCCAGAGCCACTAACACCCTCATCTCATGTCACGCAGGTAAACACTCACACACCTTCTCACCGTATTTCATTTAAATTTTTTTAACACACACATTTGGCCTCAATCCTGTAGAGCGCTCACTGACACCTGATAATCACAATAGGGTTTGCAGGAGAAATAGGTCATCATGATAACGCAAATGTGTTCCGTATGGGTGCCATAACCTGTTCACTTGTAGACAAACCAAACACATGAAGTAAAATACAGATTTTACAATCTATTTAACCATCCTAATTAGGCACTATTCCCCTCCCCCAGAAATGTAAATGCTTTTGAAGCATCAGACATTTTGTATTATTAAGAGGAAGGGGAATCTCTCTGTAGTCCAAACAGCAAAGCTCAGCCATGATGCTTGATATTCTGGTTCATCATTTTCACAACATTTGCTGGGATAAAAAGAGATAATCATGGTTTGGGTGTTCTTTCTGTGATTATAGCCTGTCAGAGAAAAATAAGATGCAACTCTTTAGATTGTCAGCAGGAAATGGTGAATAGAGGCAGATCAGGCACTGTTTGCCCTGATGTTTTGTCAAGTTTTTTGATTTAAGATTTGTTGAAAAATGTATCTCACTACAGCACAAGTGACGTCTAATTCTACAGAAAATAGTCAGTGCATGTGACCAGATCAATGATTTTATTTATTTATTTTATTTTATTTTAGACAGCAGATTAAATAAAGTCTGTTATGAATCTTTTTTTGGAATAAGGTCCTGAAGTGAACATGTTTTAAACTGCAGTTTGCTTTTTCTAGGATGACTGAAATGTTTACAGATCTGCTTATGTTTGCTATTGTTTCTTTTTTTTTTATGGCGCAGCTTCCTATTATCTTTATTTTGTCATGTCATGTCAAACAGGGACTTGTGGATGAAACTTAAACGTTAACTTGCAAATTACCCAATTCTGTGCTATTTGAAAAAAAAAATCATTGCTTTTAAAAATTCAACAGCGGATGATTATTTGAGAAGCTGTTCAGCTCTAATTAGCTCAAAATTATAAGTTTTTATCAATATAATTGTAAGGATCTATTAATGGGACTTTTTGAGAATATTCATCTGTTCTAATTCAATGTTTTTAAGGTGTTTAATGTTCAGGTTTTGATCAGGAGTTCACTTCTTCAAGCAGTAGATTAGTTTTGGATTCAGTTATGAGGAGATAATTTTGTTAGTTTCTCAGTGTGTGTGTGTGTGTGTGTGTGTGTGTGTGTGTGTGTGTGTGTGTGTGTG